TGAACTACTCTGATCTGTTTGGATGAAGGAGCTTTGCAAAACACTACCACTAACATGGATAATAATTTATAATAGTAATAATGTTGTAGAAAAAAATATGATTATCTACCATAAGGAGCACCAAACAGTTTGACAAAAAGATAGGGCCTCTCTTGGCTTAAAATGCACAGGGTCGAGGGGAGGACTTCCCTGGTGGTCCAGTGGTTAAGACTTTGCCTTCCAGTGCAGGGGGTGTGGGTTCAATCCCTGGTCAGGGAGCTAAGATCCCACAGGCCTTGGGGCCAAAAAACCAAAACATAAAACAGAAGCAATATTGTAACAAATTCAATAAAGACTCTTAAAAAAATGGTCCACATCCCCCCCCCCAAAATCTTAAAAATAAAAATGCACAGTTGGGGAGCATGGAATCCAGATTTACATTTCCTTCTGTGTGTGATTCTGAGTTACAGAACACATATGACCAATATACATTCCCTGGGCATTTTTGCCTGAATGTGGAACGGAAAGGCCAGTCTTCGATACTGCCCTCCCATCCAATTGGCACGTGGGTGGCACACAGCAAGACAGGTGCATACCAGAGGAGAGAAAAGCTGACTGGGATTCAGGAGCCCTGGGTGCCCTGTCTGTCCGTGCCGTTAATTGTGACTTCACCCTTGTTCCTCACCCATGGAAAAAGGGGCTGTGATAAGTCACCCCAAAGGGATCTCAAGTAACCCCCATGAATGATAGAGCAGCTGACCCCCAGCTCTGTGTACCAAAGCAGGAGGGGCGGGCAGAAAGCAACAACCCTGAGCCTTTGAGTGAAATCCTTCAGAGCTCACTCTTTCCAGCACTAGCTGAATAAGATTCCAATAAACATATTGCTGAAATGTTTGTTTCCGGGTGTCATTTTAGACTTCAAGTAGCTAAAACAGATCCGGCTCCTATATATAGATACTGCATTTGGTTGTGTTCTGGAAGGCTTTTATTACTACGCTCCCTGGCCGGCTCCCAGCTGAGCTTTTCCCTCAAGGGATCAGATTTTGGAATCAGAAAGTCAGAAAGGATCAGTGACCATATTAAGGGGTCTCTCTCCCTCCCTCTTTCCCCACTGTAGCTCTCTACTGCAGGTGGACGCCAGCGTGGACTGGCTTCTCCCTTTGCTCAAAGACTCTTAATAATAATGATGACAATGCTGATGGAAACTGACCAGCCCCACTATGGCAGCAAATACAAGCAAAACAGCCCTGAGGTCCTGGGCTTAAAGGAAACATAGTATAATTTGAGTTGAAGTGAAGTGCGTATTGTCACAAACAGCTCAATCTTTAGATAAGAGGACGCAGGACTCTCTGAGGATAGAAGCAAAGAAAGGGGCTATTAAGGGTGGGGTTTTATTTGGAGGGTGAGTAGGTGGGTTCTGAATTTTACTCCTGAATTCTCCAGGGGAAGATAATGCTGGGAACAAAAAGATGCATGAAGGAAGGTGGAGGTGGGGATTGGAGGAAGAGATGTGGGCAGGGAAGGAGGAAGGGATAGGGGTTTACTTAAAGAAACAAGGTTGCACCCTGGCAATCTTATTTTTTTCACTGTGTCCGATCACTAAGAGTGAATCCCTTCACTGTGTGCCCTTTGTTTTCTGTGTGTAAAACCAAGCCTCTTCCCCATTTTATAGTGTGTCCCTTCACCTGCCTCTCTGACTCCTTTATGTTTAACCATCATGGATCTAACTGCCTTCCTGGTCTCCATATTTTATGTGCCTCACCACCCCTTTCTCTTTTTCTCTTCCTCTCTGTCTCATTCTTCCCTCCTGTCTTCCCTGCTTTTCTTTTTCAGTCCTTTCTCCTCCCAGACTCTTGTCTTTTCCCTTCGTCCCCCTCCCCTCCCCCTTCCATTTCTCCCCTTTCCTCTTCCATCCCTCCCCTCCCCCCTCCCTCCTATTCCCCCTTTCCTTCTTTCCTCCCTCCTCCCTCTTCCCCTCCTCCTCTTTTCCCCTCGCCCCCTTCTGTCCTTCTCCCCTTCTCTCCTCTCTCCACGTCCCCAACTCCCCATCCCCTCTCCCTCTCCCCTCACTTCCCTCCTTCCCCTTTCCTTCCCTCTCCCTCTCGGTCCTTGTTTATCTGTAAGCTCCAATTTCTTGCCTTATAGATTTACCTGCAGAACAAGACACCGCTCCTCTTGCAAAAACTGTTTAAGAAATCCATATCCTCTCCCTTCATTCCTTGGGTATTTCAGAAATGATATTCCTCCCCCAACTACCCCCGTCAAAATAAAATAAATTCAGCCAGCTCCTGCTGTGTGTCCTTAAATCCATTCCCTCTAGCTTCGCTGGTTTGAAAGCCTGTACCCTAGAAGGGGCCTCCTGCATTTGCTGGCAACCCTGCTCGAGTCTGATCGCCACAGATAGTGCTTTGGAGTGAAAAAAAAGGGGGAAAAACCCTCTCGTTGGAGATTTCAAAACAGATTCTACCAGTTTTCAAATCTGTGCACTTGTGGAGTGGCAGGGTTTGGGGAAGAGGCGTAGGAGACTTGGGGTGTGGGTGTTTGTCATAAACAAATAAGCCACAGAATTTATACATATATATAAATGTGCGTTTCCTTTGGCATGTTTGGTGTCTTTCTCCCTGGCATCCAGGGTGGGTGGTGTGCAAGTCTGACTTCTCTCACCCTTTGGCTGGGGTCTGGTGTGTGACCGTGTGCGATGGAATTGAGGAGGGGGTTGCTGGGTTTTTGATGATTCACTTGACAGATTATTTGAATCCAGCCCACCTTTCCGCACATGTCAAACAGATGGGATCATTGTTAAAGCCTTGGGAGAGCCGTGGCTGAGCGGTGGGTAAGGCAGGGAGGGGAAGAGAGGAGGGGGACCGAGGGGAGAGGGGGCACCTTCCAGTAGCTTTGTGTTTTCACAGGTTGGAACTGACAGGAGCCCTTCTTCCCCGTGGGGGGTATTTTGGGGGCATGGGGCTGATGAGGGGTGGGATGGAAAGGAGAGAGAGAGGTGGGGTGTTGGTGGGCAGGGTTATGATGTCACAGCAAAAGTTACAACAGGAGGAAAACACAGAAATGGTTCAACATTTTTTTTTAAACTTTGGACTGCCAAGAGCTGAAGGAGAGTGGTGAGCAAAGGAATGAAGGGGAGAAGAGAGAAACTAAACTGGAAGCTTGAGTTTCGTGTAGCTTCTTGAAACCTTATGAATGGATTACTAGCAGCTGAGAGCCAGGAGAGACCTATAGGGGATGCAAGATCATTCACATACTAAAAGGGGGAGAAAAGCACGGCGGAACTCTTCTTCCTTGCTGTGTTATCCCTCCTTCCTGAAATGAATGGTATGAAACCTTTTTCTAAGGGTCCTGGGGGTGGCATGAGGGAGGGGGGAGTTTACTTCTTTTCTTACCTGGGTATCTTCCCTTCATTTAAATGAAGGTCCCTCTCCTTCCTTCCCTCCTTTCTTTCCTGGTTTCTCTCTCTCTGTCTCTATCTCCTCTGCTTTTCTGTCTTTCTCTGTAATCTCCCCCTACCTTCTACCAAAGCCCCAATTTCTGTTGAGCTGCTTCGGGGTGAGGGGGAGGGAAAAGGGCTGAGTCAGAAAAGTGAAGGGAGACAGGGAGATGATAAGAGGAAAAAGGACAGTCTAGGATTGAGGGATTTCTGTGTAGTGGTATCCACGTGCCTGAATTGATATCTTCTTTGGGGACTTGCTTTGAGGCTTCAGTGGATGCTGCTTAGGGAAACAGGGCATGCCAGGGATGGGGTGCTTAGGATACAGCATTCTTAAAGCACATAAGTCAGTTATTAGCTAGAGGAGAGGAGTTTAGAAGACGATGGGGAGACCCAAGGCAAAAGAGGCAGTGTGATCTGACTCCAAAATATGTGGGCTGCATGTTTTATATGTGGGCAACACAAGCAGTGATTTTAGAACTGTAAGTGATTTTTCTTACTATGGAATGAAGGACCCAGTATATTTCTCTACCTGTTTTGTACTCACCTGTGGTCAAACATCCTTACCTGTGTTGAGAATTCAGAATCATGCTCTGTGTGTGTGTGTGTGTGTGTGTGTGTGTGTGTGTCTATACACGCACTTGTGTTTAGGCGGTAGGACTCTTTGAGATAGCTTACATCTAGGCAAACATTATTATGGAGGTTAAAATCACATTATTTACTTCCACATTCTATCCATTCATTTCAAATCAATTTAAAAAATAGCTGCTTGGGTCTAGCTGTTTATTTTTGTAATTTACTTATTTTGAGCATCTCTCTTGTTTATTTGCTCACTCAGCATATGGTGACTTTTAGTAACTTCAGAGTGAGAAACTTGAGCGAGAATAAGAAGACCTGTATCGCACAAATCCACGGCATTTCCATTGAATGCTTCTTGCAGCAGGATACTTGATTTCTCCTTTCCCCCAATGTCTCATATAAAGTGAATTTGGGGTATTGTTCTTTTAAATCCCAAATGATTGAAATAAGAAGAAATACAGGAGGTGTGTGGCAAAACAAAAGAAAGATGCAAGTGGTCCCTAAAAGCCTGGTGTGGATTTATCAGGCAGTAAGCAGGTCTGTTCACAACACATGTGTGAGAGAGAGAGAGAGAGAGAGAGAGAGAGAGAGTGTGTGTGTGTGTGTGTGTGTGTGTGTGTGTGTGTGGAGAGAGAGAGAGAGAGAGAGAGAATACACACAGAAAAGAGCGCTCCGAAACAGTATTGATTGTTGGCTATTGATTGTGTAGGCTGCAGCTGCTGGGAGAGAAAGCAAGAAATGTTTACTGGGGAAACCAAGAGTGGCGTCTGTCCCCTGTGCCTCAGTGAGGTGGGGAGGTTTTCAGGAGGGAGGAGGGGACAGGGAGTAGGTGGAGAGATGCACCGAACTTATTAGCTTTGACATCATCATTGTCTTTAAATGAAACAAACAAGAAGAGAATTACAGGCAGAGAGAAAGGGAGAGAGGGGAGCAGGAGGGACCGGAGAGAACAGGTCCCCTGAAGGCTATGCTCTTCTTCTCGCTCTCTTTTCCATCTTCCCAGGGACCCACAAGACTCACAGAAGGTGAAGTCAAGGGCTCTCAGACTCATAAGGTTACTAGGACACCAGACTGGCACCCCAAAGGAGAACTTTACGGAGACTTACAACACAGCAACAAGTTAGAAGGGGATAAAAAAACAAACAAACAAACAAAAATCCTTTAACACTCACCAACCCCAAGCACGGAGCTGAGGGAAGCATTCTGACCTGCACAGGCAGACTGGAGGCTGGATGGAGAGCTGGCTGAGGAGGACATCTGGAGAGTGAAGGTTAAGTACCAGCTGGGATTTTTGTGCCCCCAGATTCTTTTTGGCTTTTTAGATAATAAGCATCAAATTCTGTGTCTCTGTATACCAGTTTTTCTAGCAGTTTATTGGAAGGTGGATGTATTTGAGGTTAAAGACTACAAAGAGAAGGTAACTCCTAGGGAAGGAAGAAGGAGAGAGAAAAGAAAATTAGAAGCTAAGATTCTTTGGAATGACTTCAGGTAGTGAGCGGTATGTGTTTGTGAGTGAGTGTGTATTTGACGGGCTTTGGCTTATGCCCATGTGTCCCTCTTCTAGTATCAGCGAGGGGAGGGGCTATTGAAGAAAGAAAAAGAGAGAAACCTGAACTCTCTGGAAGAAATTCATAGGAACCCAGAGAAACGAACTTCATTCTGCAAGGACTAAACTAGAGCGAGGAGAGAGAGGTCAAGGGAGAAGGGTGAGGGAAACACATACGGTGGGTGAGGTACAGAGGCCACGCTGGCCCAGCACCCAGCGCAGGTAGCCAGAAGAGGTTCTCTTTTGGGGCTGCCTGAAGAAGTTTGGTCCGTGAACAAAACAGTTTGCCCGGTGACTGTGAATCTACTGCTAGCTGTCTCTTTCTCTTCTCTCCATCACCCTGGTGTGGTACCCAGAAGTTGACTTCTGGTTCTGTATAAAGAGCCAGCGGAGGTATGATGTGCTTAAAGATTCTGAGAATAAGCCTGGTGATTCTGGCTGGGTGGGCGCTCAGTACTGTCAGCTCTGAGCTGGGCTGGACACGCAAGAGATCCTTGGCTCAAAGAGGACACCTGAATCAGGTGCTGTTGGAAGGAGAACGCTGTTGGCTGGGGGCCAAGGTTAGAAGACCCAGAGCTGCCCCTCAGCATCACCTCTTTGGGGTCTACCCCAGCAGACCTGGGAACTACCTGAGGCCCTACCCTGCGAGGGATCAAGGAACGTACCATGCAGGGCGCAGTAAGCCAGACACCGAGGGAATGGCTGTGAGATCTGTTCCCCCAGACCTGACTGGAAGTGCAGGAGTGACAAGTGAGGCTGAGCGGCCAGCTGCCCTGTGGGTAGGGGATGGTCCTGTTGGGCAGTCGGAGCTACTGGGAGATGATGACACTTATCTTGGCGATCAAGGATCCAAGGAGCCTCTAGGTGAGGCTGGGACTCAAGAACACGGAGCCTTGGCTGCCGCCAAGATCACCACCTTCCCACGCCAGAAGGAACCCGGACCAGAGACCCAAAGGAAGGGCCGGACCAAGACCAGGCGGCGGCGCCAGGTGGCGAAGGGGCAGGCAGGAGGTGTGCAGGGAGACCCCAGTGTTGTTCCCCGGCACTTCCAAGCTTGGTCTAAGCATCCCCTTATGCATGGGGTCAGAACCAGCTCTTCGGAGGGCGGCATCCAGAATGGTGGAGGGGACCCCGACTGGGAAGCAGAGACCTTTAGCCCCCAAGGAGGATTGCCTGTTTTGTACTTCTCTGGGAGGCGGGAGCAGCTGTTGCTGCGTCCAGAAGTGCTGGCTGACATTCCCCGGGAGGCATTCACAGTGGAAGCCTGGGTGAAACCGGAGGGAGGACAGAACAGCCCAGCCATCATTGCAGGTAATAACCCACTCCTGGGCTTTCCGTAGTCCGTGGGGGTAGGGTTGGCTTCCTTTTTTGATGAGGTTAGACTTTGGGGGCAAGGAGGGGAAAGGGACAGAGCAGGAGGGCTGGCTGAGCAGAGAGGGGGAAGGGCCTGTATTCATCTACGCAGCAGGATTCCAGACATCATCTACCTTAACGACTCTGTAACCACAAGAGCATTTGTGCCTTGTATTGATCTCATGTGGTTCTATACATTGTGCTGGCACTTAGGAGACCTCCAGCTCACTCTCTTATCCCTCTTTAAAGGGGAAGATCTCTGGTTCTTTGTCAGTGGGGAAGAGGTGTCACACTCCATTTCTCATAGTCCAGTATGAGATACCCAGGCAACTTTGAAACTACATGAAAGTGTAAAGACCTGGGCAGCGAGTCAAGCCTGGGCTGGGCTAGGCGGCAAGAGAACAAGGCTGCCAGGTACACAGCCAATGGGTCCTGGTTGGTTTCCTTTTCTCTGAGCAGCCCTGGGATGTAGCAGAAAGCTACTACCTTGTCCAGGTCCTTGAGTCCCCTTTGCTTTGTCCTAAAAATCATGAGTGAGTCCAGCCTAGGAAGAGCAAGGTCTACGGGAAAAGGTGGGCACTCACAAGCCAGGACCCTGGCTTCTTGCCCTGGCCGTTGTAAAAGGGACCTAAAATGCACCTTGTATAACTCTATGGTGTTAATCAGGGGCAGTGTTTGGGAACACTACCCACATATATTTTACTCTATACCCAGATCTTGGCTTTCATGGGAAGTCACCCAGAAAGACAAAGAAAAGAGTGGGGTTAGGAATGTCTCCTTTGCCTTACTTCGATGGTGGGGGGATTGGTTTCAGGCAAGGGGTGGTTGGGGGTTAGATGTGATACTTCATCATTCAGTTTCCCATTATCCCTCTGGAGCCCCCCCACCCCGTGACAGAACCTCACACAAGGCTAGGCACCTAGTAGAACCATTGAAATCTTATTAATCTGGATTGTCTGCAACACCGTTTGATGTTTGCCAGTCCTATGACATCGAGGGGGTGACAGAAGGAAATGAGAGGTATGCCAGAGGCAGACTGGGAATGGAACTCCAGAACCCCTCAAAGGCTTGACAGCTCCCCGTATTAAAAACTTCTCAGGTTACTGGATGCCTGCAAATAAGTTTCAGACTAGAGAAAGAAATCTGGAAGGAGGGAGCCTCTTGCAATGGGGTGTTGCTGGAACATCCCTTCCGGACACGCTGTCTCCCCCTCTTTGGCTGTGATTTCTCTTTTGGAAGCTGGGATTCCCAGACACTGAGTGCTCTAGAGTCTTGTGGTTATGCGTGATTTTATTTTGGGGTGGGAGAGGGTGAAGGGAGGGGATAGAGAAGGGGCTGGGCTATAAGATAGGTGGGGGCAGAGAAAGAGTAGAAGGAAATCCTTATTCTGGGGCCAAATGGAAGAAATAATGAGATGATTATCTGATCGGAGTTGGCAGCTTCACAGTTTTTCCCAGATGACATCTTCTTGCTGCCTAATCTCACTTCCTAGTACCCATCTGCCAGGGAAACTGTGTGCTTGCAGTCTAGACCGGGGCCTACCACTCTGCTTACCCCTCCTCTGGCAGTAGCGGCATAGGGACCTGGGATCAGTTCCCTGGCTCAGAAGAATCAGAGAAGGATGCAGCAGGAATATAGGAGGGAGGCGCTAAGAGACCAGTGCTTTGAGTTGTTAAAACCCAAAACCTGACGGAACAGATTCTGGACAGTGGATCTTTCCATCCCTTTCATGTCCTTCTGTCTCATGCTCTGCAGCGGGAAGAACAGGGTCAGGATTTGATTCCAATTACAGCCTTCCTTGATGCACCTCCTCCCTCGCCCCCCCCCCCCCCCCGCAAGCCCGTACATCTCCCTCCTGTGCCCACCTCCACCCTGCCACAGCACACACTCAGATCCTTCTCCAAAGTGCCCATCTGAATCCTCATAACCTCCCTAAGCGTGTAAAATTAGGCAGAGCTCTTTCGCAGACAGTCTAGCTTCGGAGGTTTCTTTCTCTTCAAATCAAAGTGTTCCTGGAGGTGTGCTGGTATTTCCCCTATAGGTCCACACCAGGAAGGTGGAAGGGCAGGGAATACACAGGTCTATCTCCTCTCCACCTCCCACCCTGTATCTCTGTTCAGATTTGTGCACATCAGAAAATATTCAGGAGAGATTTAGGGTAAAAGTCTGGGAGAGATGGGGGCTGGGAACAAGGCTTTCATTCTTTAGGATTCTAGCAACCGGGTTCCCAAGGACGTAGGCATCCTTGTCTACTCATTGTGCTCAGCTCCGTACACTTCCTCTGGGGGCCCCAGGGCTGAGAACCATGAAGGGCCAAGGCTAGTCCCCACCCCCACCGCCCTCCTCCCGGAATAAAGGCCTCCGATTCGCTAACTTACTCACTCCTACCAACAGATCAGCCCAAATTCCCTCTCCGACCCTAGCACTGGTCCTTTTATTTGGTCACTGCCCGCTTCTGGGCTGGTTGGCCTTCAGCTGTGCAGAATGACCACAACTGAATTGTGTTCCTGAGAGCTAAATACAATTCAACCATGGAAGTTCTGCTGCTCCACTGAGGATAACCCAAGATGCTGCAAAACTTGACTCCCATACTCTTTTCCAACAGCTCTCAAACCTCAGATTCTACCTACTTAACATAGACCCAGTTTCCCGGTCCTCCATCTACCAAACCTGGGGCATTTTCTCCTTGGCAGATATATTAAGTGATTCAGCTGCACCACCCCCTGTAGAGGAACCCCCCTGAGATGGGAGACCTCAGGGAATACTTCCCACACAGGGCACTAGGTGGCAGCGTTGCTTCGTGCACAGGAGAGTAGGCGGTGCCTTGGAAGTGGGAGGGATTTAATCATCCCCTCCCAGAGCATTGTTGGTAGGCATCCCTTAGGGTCAGCTTCATACAAGTCTTTCTGCAGGGCCTACGTGAAAGGGCTAAAGTGGCATTCTTTGGGTTGTGACTAACTGGCACTTGTAAAATCTGGTAAAGAAAACAAAATCAACTAGAGTTACCTCCCTCCCCCCACCCCTAACTCCCACGTGCTTCCAAAATAGGAAGTTGGATTCTGGATGGATTGTTGGAATACTTTCATTTAGAGCCAAGGACAGTGCAGGCCTCACAGGCTTTCACTGCTAAGATTCTGGTCCCTGGAGGGGGAGTGATGGTGCTGGGCCCCCTGCAAGTTAGACCTTCTGAAGTTGCCAATCTCCTGTAGTTCTGACGTGAGGCAAGAGGGCCTAGGAAAAGACTGTGTGTGGCTGCTCCAGTGTAGGGGCCTCCATCAAAGTAACTACTCAGGGGCGTGGCAATTCAGGGATTTGTGGCCACCAAGGAGTAGCCTGAGGTCAGGATCCCATTTGGAGAGGCTGTTGGAACTCAGCAGTGGACTTAAGCCAAATTCTGTTCCATCCTCGTGTGAAATCTTTAAGCTCCAGCACCCAACCCTGAAACCATCCTGTTTCTCTCCTTCTCAACTTCCTTTCCTCTCCTTCAACCCCAGCATACACAGAAGAGGACCTTTTAATAGGTTCCTCCTCACCCCTAATTGATTTCAAATGTTCCCTGAAGTTGCCCAGCTGAGTAACCACCTGCAGCTCCAAGAGGCAGGAGACTGAGTCAGTAAGTCCATGGCAGAACTGGAGCCCGAGCCCACGTTTCTTCACTCAACAAATATTTATTGAATGCCTTGCCATGCAAAGCAGGGCAAGGCTCTGTGGGGAATACAAAGATGTCTAAGAAACTGTCCCTGACTTGAAGATGAGTTTTCCTTTTCTGAGGATCCAAGTTTCAGAGGACATTCCAGGGCAGAATTTGGGAGTCAGACAGACCTGGAATCAGACCCCATCTGACACTTGATCAGTGCTGCCACCTGTGGCAATCCATTAAACTTTTCTGAGCTTTGGTGTCCTCAGATTGAGAAATGAGACAATGTCTTGCAGAGTTGTTACAATGTTTAATTGAATCATGTATGTAAAGTGCCCAACACAGGCTTGACCGTGGAATTTATTTACGAAGTGGTATTAACAGCGGGAGGTGATCATTGCTAAGAGCAGTGTGTTAACCAATGCATCTTTGGTGTTAACCCACCAACCTGCAGTCCTTCCTCAGTTAGGATATTAATTTCTTAGGAATTTAGTGTCCTAATCTGTAAAATAGGAATGACGGTAGATAGGGTTTTTTGGCAAGATGGTCTCAAGATGATTGAGAACACTGTAGAATCAGTGGCTTGAAAGGACTCTGTTTTTTTTAAAAATCATTTTATTTTTAGCGTGGGCAATACTATTTAATACATTGGACAATGGTCCAAGGCTTTTTCTGGGATCATACACTCTTCTGAGAATATGATGGAATCTATGCTCACTTTCCAGAAATATGTCCGTGTCATGTAGTTCACATAACTTTCAGAGCTCTCTGGATTTCCTGGTAGCTAGCATCTGCTGACCTTGTTTAAGGCATATTGATAGCTTTTTTGTTTTGAATGATGCCTGAGAATTGAGATTTCACAGGACGATGTAACAACCCCTTCTCCCAGTAAGGGGGTGGCGTCCTCAGGGTGAGGAGTTTTGTTGATGTGGGGTGTGGAGCTTCACAGACTCACACACAGAAGTATCCACATAGATATAAAGAGAATCTAAAAGGAAGGCTATGTGTGTCCAAAGCTGGAGCCTGTTTTTGTAAATAAAGTTTTATTAGAACCCAGCCACCCCCATTTGATTGTGTGTTCTCTGTGGCTGCTCCCACTTTGAATGGCAGAGTTGAGTAGTTGCAACAGAGAATGTATGGCCTGCAAAGCCTAAAATATTTACTGTGAGGCCCTTTGTAGAGTTTGCCAAATCCTGCTCTAGAGCATTACTTCTCAAACTTAAATATGCATAGAGATCACCTGGTATTTTTCTCAAAATGTCCTTGCTGCTATGGGAATACACCTTGCAGCGGATGCAATGAGAATGCCAACTCTGGGGCA